AATGTCTCTCTGTTTTCTTTGCAGTAGACCATTTATTGAATACTATTCTGTTTTGTGCCCCAGTAATGAAGATTCGGGGACAATTTGTCCCTGCCCGTCCGTTCGTCTGACTAGATCCATCTTGACTCTTTTTGAAAAAAAAACATCAACCTTGATGTTAACTCACATGTTGAGTATCGGCCAACATACTGTATTTGACCCCTTGACCTTGACGTTTGACCCACTTTTGCAAGAACATCCTTGGCCATAATTTTTGATCAGTGCTAGGACTTTGCATCACATGTGTATTCATTATGAGAAGACCTTTCCATTGATACATGTAGTATAATTCTCTGTCATCATTGGACTTTCAGTATAAGACGTGGCATTCTCGACGCTACGTAATTAGCGTCTCTCATATGGCGAACAGAGTTTCATTCGCTACGAAATTAACAACATCAGCAACTTTAAATTGTTGTTGACATCGATGAGACGACTTAAGCCTCACCTCTTTGCTGTAACACTATCATCGGATCCTTGCTACGCTCACTGACATTCGCCCAAATTTCTATCCCATGTATATATATTTCGACAGTGAATGAAAGGCTGTGTAAATTTCAGATGCTAATTATGTAACGTCGAGAATAGCCACGCCTTACTGAAAGTCCAAGAATAAAAGAAAATTGTACTAAATATTGTAAAAATATTGTTTTATTTCGCGGAAATTGATTTTTTAACAAGTTAGCATATAGATTTGAATTAACCCTTTCTGAATTGCTTTATATATGAATATGTGTAAACAAGACATTTATAGCGGGCTTATCGTCAGTTTTGTGTTTGTGCTCTGGTCAATTTTATTATTATTTTTTAATTTTGTTTTTTTAAATACGTTTTTCAAGCACCAATATCTGAAACCGGCTGCAGATTTTTTAAATTAAAAAAAGCTCACAAATGTTTCACTTTTGTAATATTTTGAACCTAATTGCATTCAATTCTCTTTTTTTCCTTCTATGCGAGCAAGAAAAGAAAGACTGAAGCTCGGAAATGGACAAAGGAGCCGTTTTCAAAGTTAGTTAATTTTGTTTGCACGCGCTCTTGCAGTTAGAAGAAGAAAAAACTAATCCAATGCTTATTAAGAGCCATTCTCTGTAATGATTTTGAAATTTTATATAGGAGCTGTGGCACGCATAGTCTCAGAATTTCTCCAAACTCTCTATGATAAAAGTCATTGATACAAACTGAAATCAGGCAAAAATTGGTTGCTATGTTTTATAGTTACCATGGCAACATGTCTTAAAGTTCGAAAAATGGCATTTTTTAACATGTTTAGAGCCCCATAGTTAACATTTGCGGCAAAGCAAACAATTGAAAATGACTGTTTCCAAAAGTTGAAGGTCAGATGTCTCAAATGCATGATAAACATGTTTGGTAAATCAACTATTACATACGTTACTATGGTAACAAAGTATTCATAAGTAAAAAAAATATTCAATGAATTTTATAAAGTCATACACGTAAAAATAAAAAGCAATTATAGGATGAAATGTGACCAAATAATAGAAAAAAGAGCCTTAAAACATATACCAAGAACAAAATATGATATTTCATTTTGGTTGGCAATGGTTGCCAAGGTTTTTATAGCACAGGGAGCCTTCAGAGTAACACTCTATATTTTAAATCTGATCCTATCTTTAAAACATAGGTAATCAGAGATTACAGAGCTCACCTCAACGAATGTTGTCTTTAAGTAAGGCAAAGTCACACAATTAACCAACAAAAAGTGTACATTCCAGAAATGAAAATATTTAAGCAATTTTGATCGAATACATCGAAATAGACCTACATAAAAAATTTAAACTAGTTGTTCATGAAAATGTAATTAAAATTAAGCATCTGAAGCAAATTTGAGAGTTTTCATCTCCTGATGCAACATTTGTGCAAGTTTGGTTTGGTTTATACAATGTTATATAAGCCTTCAAGTTTTTTGGTAATTGACCTGCACCCATAACTTTTACCTGGTCTATTATCTGAAAAAATGTATGTCGAATTCAGCATCCAAAGTAAGTCCATTAGTGTGCATCCTAAGATGTATCGTCCATGCATGTTTGCTCATTATAGGGCTCATAGTTAATTGGAAATGATACATTCATCACAAACTAACATTTTCACTCATCCACAAAATGTAGGTCAGATTCAGCATCCGACGCAAGCCTGGTAGTATGCATCCTTGGATGTATCATCCACGCAAGTTTGGTCAACATAGGGTTTATAGTTACTTGGAAATGAAACCTGCACCAAAAACTTGAACCTGTTCACTCAACCAGAAAATGTAGGTCAGATTCAGCATCTGAAGCAAGCCCGGTAGTATGCATCCTTAGATGTATCATCCGTGCAAGTTTGGTCATTAAAGAAGTCATAGTTACTTGGAAATGAATTATGCATCAAAAACTTTAACCTGTTCACTCAACCGGAAAATGTACATTGTAGATCAGATTCAGCATTCGAAGCAAGCCTGATAGTATGCATCCTTAGACGTATCATCCATGCAAGTTTGGTCAACATAGGGCTTATAGTAACTTGGAAATAAAACCTGCCCAAAAAAATTTAACCTGTTCACTCAACCGGAAAATGTAGGTCAGATTCAGCATCTGAAGCAAGCCTGATAGTATGCATCCTTAGATGTATCATCCATGCAAGTTTGGTCAACATAGGGCTTATAGTTACTTGGAAATGAAACCTGCACCAAAAACTTTAACCTGTTCACTCAACCGGAAAATGTAGATCAGATTCAGCATCCAAAGCAAGCCTGGTAGTATGCATCCTTAGATGTATCATCCATGCAAGTTTGGTCAACATAGGGCTTATAGTTACTTGGAAATGAAACCTGCACAAAAAAATTTAACCTGTTCACTCAACCGGAAAATGTAGGTCAGATTCAGCATCCGAAGCAAGCCTGATAGTATGCATCCTTAGATGTATCATCCGTGCAAGTTTGGTCAACATAGGTCTTATAGTTACTTGGAAATGAAACCTGCACCAAAAACTTTAACCTGTTCACTCATATGGAAAATGTAGGTCAGATTCAGCATCCGAAGCAAGCCCAGTAGTATGCATCCTTAGATGTATCATCCATGCAAGTTTGGTCAACATAGGGCTTATAGTTACTTGGAAATGAAACCTGCACCAAAAACTGCACCAAAAATGTTAACCTGCTCCAAAAACATTAACCTAGCCATTCCTTTGCTGAAATTGCAGCATCTGAAACTTTGACTGGTACAATGAAACACATTAGAAGCATCTTCCATGCATGTCTAATCAATATAGGACATAGAAGTACTTAAAAAGAAAACTGCTCCAAAAAACTTAACCTGGGACGCCAACGCCGACACCGACACCGACGCCGACGCCGACGCCGAGGGTATTACATAAGCTCCCCCAACTTCGTTGAGGTGAGCTAAAAAAGCACATTTCCTCATAACTAATGATCAATTTTATAAGATGTTGGTGTGCTCCAAGTTTTCCAATTTGAAAAAATTCAGATTAGATTCTTTAAATAGAGCGTTGTTATGGAAATAAGCAGAAAATATATGCTTAAAAACCTGAAAAACATTTTCTTTCCTTGGATACGTACTCTAAAATGTAGATTCCCAAAACTTTTATGATTGATATTTATTAACAGCTAACTTGACTTTTAATTTTGACTATCATCCAATCTCTAAGTGGATGCAAGAAGTTGGCACACAGGGTTTAATATTGATATAAAGTTCACAAAATCGAACATTTTCCCTTCTTGGTAACCATAGTAACAGTGTTGTTTTATTCATCAAATTTTATCAATATATGATATTCAAGTTCAGTTCTAACGGATAAGTACTATTCAAGCTGAGTCCTTTAATTTGTTTCTTGATTAAATGGCAATTTAATTCTTAATGCAGCGAAAAATAATTCACTTTTAAGCACTGTACATTGTTTCCATGGTAACACTACAAAGAAGCAATTATACCCAATTTTTCTTATAGATTTGGTGATGCAAGGTCCTTAGGATGCATATTTGCCAGTCTTGAATTTTCATGTTTTTCCTCAAGACAGTAGCATTAACCCAATCTTAGTTACTGGTTTTGCATGGTTACACTGTGTTACCATGGCAACCATAAAAGTTATTTATAGAATAATATTGCTTATACTTATATACTTAAGGTCAAACATTTTCATTGTTTTTCTTAAATCGTTGATTGAGTTTGAGCATGTAATACCTACCATTAGTGAGTACGGAGTGTTTTTCAGCATATTTCAGCATTTAAAATGTATTCCAAATGTACCCTTGGTTACCACTTACTTAGAGATATATTCTAAACAGTTTCTTTACAGTATAAGTGACATCAAGGTGTCATGTTTTTGTGAGAATGGTTTGTTTGCTTTTTCTAGTTTTTATTAAGCCACAGTCAAGATTTAAAGTGGCTGAAAATCTCGATTTTTCAAACTTTTCCGACTGTTGCCATAGCAACCGAGACACATAGCAACGAAATTTTGTTTGATATTTGTTTCTGGTGTCAAGTACTAAGCATGGGTGAAGTTTCATCAAAATCGGTGTCCATGCGTGGCAACGAAGTTTAAGTGGTTACAGAGAATGGCTATTAAATCTTGTTGCAATCTTACAAATTTTGAAACGGTAACACTATATCTAAAAAAAAATATACATCATTTCCAAGTATGTTAAAACATTTCTGTAATTAAACATCTACACATTTTATTAATTAGAAACAATATAATCTGTATATTTTAATCTACGGAATTAATTTAGGGACAATCTACATTTTGAAATAAAGCTTTTTTTTGTTTAAGATTTAGAGGCTAAAATTTTTATTGACATTAAGAAACAATAAATATCAAAATTATTATTGTTTACCGAAATACCCATCTAAAAGGATAGTTTGAACTTTCTATCGATTATTTCTGGGAAGGAGACCTTTAAATTCTTCTTTTCTTTAATTAGTTGCACCAATTTTTCAAACACTATAATGATCAAGACACCAGGACAATGATCGGGGTCGCATTTTATCTTGAACGTCAACAATGATGTAGGTAGGGAGCTTGGGAGGATGAACTCGTGGCTCAAATACCTGTGGGAAACAAGGCCGACATCTTTTATAGTTTCGGGAATCGTCACATCAGCTGTTGCCTATGGAATCTACAAATTAATCATATTCTTTCAAGAATCAGAATGCAAGCCCGATGAATACTTCCGACACGTTCAAAACGTAGTAAGCAACATCTACATGATTTCTCTGTTTTTTCCCTTTTTAATATCTTTTCTTCGTCATTACTTACTTTATAATGTCGTTGTCAAATCAGCATGCGAAACGTAGTGAGTGCATTACCACAGCACCCTTAAAAAAAAAAAGAATCATGAACTACTAGGCCTTTTATGGTCCAAGTGTTAATTCAGTTGAAACATTTTACAGTGCAATAGTGACTAGATATAATATGGCATAGCATTCATTAGATATCTATATGCATATTCATTGTTTGAATTTCAGCAGAATTTGACATGTTAAACTTGCTTGAACATGTTTAATTAACATGACTGTGAATATGGCACTGGATCCCACCTCTATTAATGTTTTAGAGGTCCATGTTTGCTTTGCTGCTATTTTATATTGTTTCATGGGATTTTTTGAGCTTGATCATGGTTTTTTATCTCCTTATTTTATGCAGGAGAGAGTTTCTATTCTTCAAATAAACCACCTGAGGAAACGACTTTACTTTTAAACCGGTCCCCTGAAAAATGTACTTAAATGAAGACTAGTGTTGCCAAAGGTGAAATATATGTGATAACTGATATTGCATGAGCAATAAAAAAAAAAACTTTTTTTTCTTTTTTCACCCAAAAATTGAATTCTGCAGTTAAAAGTTTAGTTGAAAACTTCGTTTTTAAACAAAGTTTTTAATAATTTCTTTTTTAAACAAAGTTTTAACATTATTCTCTGAAAAAAATAGATATTGTTTATTTATTGAAAAAATCCACTAAAAATAATCGTCAATGAAGCGCATGCTTAGTGTCAATTCTTTTGGACTTAGCCATTCTTCCATGTAAATAAATCAAAGAAATGCCATTGAAGTTGAATTATGATCTTGCAGAAGTTACAGAAACAACTGAATAAGTTATCTAAAAGAACGAGTCACTACCCCTAATCTCTTGGATGGGATGCAAGGACTTAGATGTTAAGACAAAATCTCAGGGGCAGATGCTAGACTAACCCTAATCAGTCAAATAATGTGCGAGGACTAACCCTAATCAGTGAGTCTCTGATGGATATGAGAGTAACCCTAATCAAACAAATACTTTGTAAAGACTAACCCTAATCAGTCAAAAAGTGTGCAAGACTAACCCTTATCAGTTCAGACTGATAGACTAACCCTTATCAGTTCAGACTGATAGACTAAACCTTATCAGTTCAGACTGATAGACTAACCCTTATCAGTTCAGACTGATAGACTAACCCTCATCAGTTCAGACTGATAGACTAACCCTTATCAGTTCAGACTGATAGACTAACCCTTATCAGTTCAGACTGATAGACTAACCCTTATCAGTTCAGTGAGGTATATTGTTAACATCATAGTCCAAGCATGTGGATCTTGCAGATCTGGGGACTGGTAAAGTAAAGTCTACATGTACCCCTCCTGAGTATAATTGCACCTCCATTTCTATGCTCTTGCGTTTTGATTATGTACTGTGGTTGTCTTATCACACATTTGATTTTTAGCTCAATTCGGCAAATTTGACATGAGCTTATCAGTTATGCTGTACATGTACCCCATGTGTTGGCTAAGCATCCATGTCCAAATTAAAGATTGAGGAGAAAGTTCATTCCCAAGTAACTATAAGTCCTACCTGTTACAATACCAAACATATGTTTGGATGATGCATTAAGGGATGCACACTAAAAGACTTACTTTGAATGATAGACCAGGCCTGGGGGCCATAAAACTTAGATGAGCTCACTTTTGATCTCAATCTCACTTTTACTTGGCAAAAGAATATATAACGGAAAAGTGAGACTGAGATCAAAAGTGGTCTTGTCTACCAGGCCTGGCCCTGAGACCTTAAACTGAAAACAGACTTAAAGGTGCAAATAAACAGAATTTGAATTTAATATTTTCTCAAATTTTCTGTTTATTATTACGATATATATATTGCAGTAGCATTTCACAAGAAAATATAATAAAAATCAGATTTCATTTCAAAGTTATTGAAACTTTGAATTTCTGGTCGGGTTTGATTGACACGTTTTAAAATATGGAGACATTATTTCAACTTATTAAAAGAAAAATCCCAAAACATAGATAAGCAAATATTTCAAAGTTCATCTCAGGGAATATTGCCTTTAAGTAAAGCAAAGTCAAACACTTAACTAATAATCTTGAAGAATTCATCCTATTTATAAGTAATATTTCTGCAATTTTGGTCCAGGGAGGGCTCGCAGTAACTTTGGAATGGACTTGACAAAAACCTTTAATTGGTCACTCATTTATAGAAGATGCAAATCAGGCTGCAAGACCATAAATTGAACAGAGCAGACTTAAATCAAGTTTATTGCAATAGCATTTCACACTAAACTATAATAAATATCTTTTTCCATCTCGAAGTTATTGAAACTTCAAATTTCTGGATGGATTTGTTTTTATTCATAGCATTACATAAGCTTTAAAGATAGACATGTACCTCTTATGTTTGAGTGCTAGCCTGAGTATTTTTTGTAAATATCTATGTAATTTCCCACCATGGTCCAGATTCATACTTACATCATTTATAACAAACAATTAGCATCATTGAACTACTTGAATCTGGTGCTGGAAACTAATAAAAAAAAAAAAAACAAGTAAAAAAAAAACAAGATGTGTTTGTGAAACACTATGCGCCCGGCGGCAACAAAGTTAAAAAACATATTTTTAGCATATAAGTCAAGGTCACAAGGTCATTGATCTTGGTGTAATTTGAAAGAACTTGATTAATGACGAAAGCATACCAAATATGAACTCTCTATCTCTTGTGGTTCAAAAGTTATGGTGAAGGTTCAAAAAAGCTATTTTTAGCATACAGGACAAAGTCAAGGTCACAAGGTCATTGACCTTGGTATCATGTGAAAGGGCTTCATTAGTGGAGTGTTCATGCCAAATATTAAGTCTCTATCTTTCTTCGTTTTATAGTTGTGGCGAAGGTTAAAGTTTGTTGACAAAAAAGCTATATTTAGCATATAGGTCACAGTCAAGGTCTCAAGGTCATTGACCATGGTGTCATAAAATAGAGATCAATCAGTGGTTTATGCATACTAAATATAAAGTCTCTATCTTTTATGGTTCAAAAGTTATGGCGAAGGTAAAAGTTTGAAGAAAAGAACTATTTTTAGCATTCAAGGTCACAAGGTCATTGATCTTGGTGTCATGTGAAAGAGCTATATCAGTAGATTATGCATACCAAATATGAACTCTCTATCATTCATGGTTCAAAAGTCATGGCTAAGGTTAATGTTTGCAGACAAACAGACAAACAGATAAACAGGCAAACAGACAGACAGGACAAAAACAATATACGCCTCGGATCTTCCGATCCGGGCGCATAAAAAACAAAAAAATAAACAAAATGCTTATATATATATAAGAATGTTACATCGGGGGATACCCTATATCTTGCAATTTATTTTTAGATTACATGTATACACATAATCAGTTGTTCTGAACTTAACTGTTAAATAAAGAGGGATCAATTTGTAACATAATTTTTAAAAATCAAACTGCAAGGCAACTGCTTAAAAATGATAAAATGCTTCTATCTAAATAATTATGACAACATTAAAATGAATCCATTGTTCCACTACCTTGAGGGGGGGGGGGATGTAAGATGTAAAAAAGAAATTAAAACATATGATGCGGAAATGTCAGGTACTATGTACCGGTATATGGTGTACTAGTATTAAGATAAAATTCCTTGACGCTGAAATCTAGTAAATCTACACAAACTAAGTATTTTTTCAAAACTTTTGGCGAAAGAAGGACAACTCGAAGTTGAAATCAAACTCTGAATACCGTACGTTGTCTCAAGGGCTCATGGGCGTATATATATATAAAACGCAATGTGTTTAAAAATCAATCAAACGATTAGTATCATAGGCGATGGAAGGAAACTGGTGGTGGGGGAGGGGACTAAATTAAACAAAGGTTAGCCCGATTATCATTGCCCCCCTCCCCCCCCCCCCCCCCCCCGGTTCCGAGGCCCATGAGTATTTAATTGAATCTTATTAAAAAAACTGATATTGTTAGAAACAAATGTCGAGATATTCTTATCAACAGTTTTAATTTACTCTAGTTTTGGGGAAAAAATCCATTGCTTCGGGTCTTAAACCTTCCAGGCGGAAATTAAAATTTTCTAAGGATGTCATTACATGTACAGTGTATTCTTTCGGCAAAAGTTCAGATCAAGTAGCAGGAAGGGTGCATTTGTAAAAATAAATTAAAAACGCATTTGTCATTTTTACATTCATAGGCGTCGGAAGCAAATTGAAGTGGGGGCTATTTGACATTGGTTGGGGGGGGGGGGGCTAAACCAACAAAAAAAGGTAAACACCAATTTTAATTGCCTTTATTATGTATATATTTGAAAAGGTGGGGGGTGGGGGGGGGCTACCCCCCCCCCCCCCCCCGGTTCCGACGCCTATGACATTATCCAGGAAATTGTCAAATTTATATCTTTAAAAATAATTGTTTCACATCCAAGATATTTTTAATCGAAATCTGGATATATCAACAACGTATATTATTATCAACAAAATACACGAAAAAATTTTTGTGAAGTTATATTGTGCGCAATTTAATGACTCATGTGCACTGAGGTGCATGTTGCAAATTAACCATAATATATCTGTTTTTCTATCCTGCAGACTCGTTCGGAGCGTCCGAGGACACGAGTACTTGTGGTCGGACTGGATGGGAGCGGGAAAACCGCATTTGTGGAGTGTCTAAGTAAGGGAAAGGAAAAGAATGAAATGCCGCGACCAACTGTCGGCTTCAACGTCAAGTCTGTCACCATAGGGGACGTCATGTTCGATATCTGGGATGGTAAGAATCATTTTACATACAAGATACGTGTACTTTTACGATGGTGTGCTCGCCATTCAGTTAATGAAAATTCCCCGATTTCTTAAAAAAGAACCCTTAAAAACAAATGAATAAATTAATTAAATTTGATAAAACTAAAATAAAAGGCTGAAATAAAAAAAAACTAACTTATATTAACTACATGTACATGTTACAATCACATTTTAGACAAACGATCTACATATTTCTAGATATGAACTTTCAAGAAATACTTTTTGTTCATGAATTTCATAATGTAACATGCATAATCAGCATTTGAATTTCTTTGTAGTTGGTGGATCAGAAATGTGTAGAACTTATTGGAAGGAATTTGTAAAAGGGATCCATGTAATAGTTTGGGTGGTGGATTCAACGGCAAGCAAGGCGAGGTTAGAAGAGAATGCTGACGAACTGAAAAGGTTTCTGAGTTTGGAGGCCGCTAATAACATTCCAATTCTGTTTATTGCAAGTAAACAGGTAAGCATATTAAATTTATATGTAGTATTTTTAAACAGCTGTCAATAAAATATTAATAATAACTTTTTTTTTAATTACGTTCCAGAAAAAAAAGCAACAGAAATTTTATCACCAGACTGTTAAGTATTTCACATTTATTTTTATATTTTATTGATTTTTTCATTTTTTTTAACTTTCAGGATCGAGAAAATGCCCTTCCTCCAGATGAAGTGATGCGACAGATACAAGCACAAGAAAGTATTGGTAGAAACCGGAAGTGCGCCGTTGTTGGAACCGAGGTTGTCCCAGGTGGAGGACGGAAGGGGATATGGGATTCGTATAAGCAGCTTGTTTATTTAACCTCATAGCATCATAGGGAATTGTTTTTATTTTGACAAAATAACTCATTTTTATTAATTATAAAATATATTTTGTATTGAATTGTAATCTTGATTTTTTTATACGGCGGTTTAGAGTCGGTGAATTTTATATACATGTACAGTACATTTTAGGCGTTTTTTGTGATACTAATGCAACTTTTAAAGCAAATACTTTTTGTTGTTTAATAATACTTTTATTGGTATTTTTACACAAATTTTTATTGTATACTTGTGAAAAATAAACGAAATATTTTAAATATTTTACTATATGTCTGTGTGTTTCCCTTTTTAATGTGAATGTGTGAAGTACAATGCACTGTATATAACGTATTTCTCTCTTATAGGATGTAGATGTATTTTTCTACTATCTGCAATAATGAAATCCCCTCCCCTTTTTTTTCTGATATTTTATGGAGAACCCCCCCCCCCCAAGAAAAAAGGGGGGTGGCGATATTAAAGCAGCGAGTTTCTACTTTCAATGAAACTATTTGCTGCATCATCTTCGCTAGCCAAAGGGTTCTTATACGCTAATCTCCTCATGAATGCTTAGCAAAGATGTAGTTGCGTTGAACAACATAGAACACTCTGGAAGATTTTTTTGAATTCTATATAAAGCTGACATAAAATATAGAACACTTTATTCATGCACATTCAGACATTAGGCACGAACGAGGGGGGTATCAAAAAGTTCTTGGACTAGCGACATAAAATTAAAACCGCTTTAGGTACATCAATGAATTTTAAAATCTCTAATTAGCATCATCTTTTCTATCAGTAGAATAAACCACAAATCGGAAATTTTATTTTTTGATAATTGAGTAATGTTTTTGTAAACAATGGTATGTCCAGGCGGCGCAACTTCTAACACGACGTTTTTCGACCTACGTGGTTACTGAGAAAAAATCTTTGGATATGAACATTTGAGATCCAAATATCCCATTAATTCAGGTTTGTGTTGGGACACTATTTTCCCATAAAATACGGAATTTTTATCTCGTTCTGGAAGTTCTATGAAAGTTTATCGTAAATTTTACATAGAGTATCGAAACAAATAAGGCCTTGAAAATAACGTCAGAAGGTGGGAGGGGTTTCCTTTTCCAACTTTCTATAAAGTTTTGCCCATAAAAACTGGTATAGACCTAGGAAATGTTTAAATTGGCTACGTGGAACTAAAATGCTTCCAGAGTACTTGTTTTTTAATGCCCAAAAGCGATTCAGAGAGAAAAGGGTCCGTGTAAAAATTCAAATTTCTAAAATGATTTAGAGTTTTAGAATGTTAATATAACAGTTCAAATATCTATAAGTTTCAAAAACTCAAACTGATTTCGTATATTGAAATTTAATATTTTAGTTCAAAAATCTAAATTTTTTAATTTCCAAACAGGTTTTAGAATTTTAATATTTTAGATTTTTACGTTGAATTTTCAAAATTAAAATTACCAAAAACGATTTTTGGAATTTAAACGTTTGAGTTTTTAGTCTTCCGTTTGTTCAGAAAGTTTACACTTAACAATCTGAAGTTTGGTAATATTTTTCATCTTTTAATTATTTGAAATTAGCTTCAAACTTCTAAAATCCAACTTTGAAACGTTTTAGATTTTAAGAAATTTGGAACTTTGATTCAAATGTTCTAATTTCAAATAACCTAGACACTTTAATTTTTAGAATTTTACTTTAAATATCCAAAATTTAAACCAGTTATGGAATTTGATATTTTGGATATTTGAAGTAAACTTCTAAAAACTCAAAATGTACAAAAGTGTTTTGGTTATTCAAAAGTTGAGTGTTTGAATAAAAATTCTATTTCTAAAAATCTAAAACGTTTGAAAGTTGGAAGTTTGAAGTAAATTTTAAATAATCAAAAGACGAAAATGTTATCGAATTCTAGATTTAAGCGTAAACTTTCTAAACAAACTGTAGAACAAAAAGTCAAACGTTTAAAATACAAAAATCGTTTTTGGAAATTTGAATTTTGAATATTTAAGGTAAAAAAAAATCGAAAAACTTCTAAAACCTGTTGGGAAATTTAGATTTTTGAAGTAAAATGTTAAATTTTAATATAACACATCAGTTTCAGTTTTTGAAAGTTAGAAATTTGAACTAATATATTAACATTTTAAAACTCAAAATCATTTTAAAATTTCAATTGTTAAGTGTTACACGGACCGAAAAGGGTTGCACAGTTAACGTCGATTTGTAGTCAAAGTGTGAAAGATCAATCATGTCAAAAATGACGCTGATCATGTGTTGTTGATATTGAACTCCAAAAAGCAAAATATGCTGGCACAATCAAGCGAGGATCTCTCACAATGTGTAAATCCTTTTGCAATATTATAGGCATTGAAAGCCGCTGTTCATGACATTGTAAAGTCATATAATCAACACGGATTTAAACCCTTCCTCAGCTCAAAGGAACCTTATCAAAATTAGAGGTACTGTGAGCAACGAGCTCACTAAATGATACCCCCGCCTCCCATATGATTATAATGGCAGTGTCCATGTTTTGCTATGGGAAACCTAAAATATGCGTCGGATCAAAAAGTAAAATAAGAGGTGCACATTTGCAATATGTAATAAAGATTCTGTGAAAGTTTCATCAAATTTCATTCAGTGGTATGAGAGGAGTTGCCGATAAGAGATGGGTACCCCAAAGCGTTACAGACTGACGGACGGACGTACAGACGGACTGACAGACATACCGATTACTATATACCCTCCCGCTTTTCAAGCGGGGGGTATAATAAGTGTTTGAGGTAGGAGAAGCGAACATTGAAAAATAATGATGTTCACGGTCGGACGTCATGAAACTAAACGGCGACGGCGCCGTGTGATCATATTTTAAAGGCCGAGGTTTTCAACCGTACGGTTTTCCTCAGGTAAGTTTGGTGTGGGGTGGAGCTTAATCGAAGCGGCTGAGAAGCCCCGAGGGAGCGACGCTGGCTTGTGTATACTACCTATATACACAGGATGTTACCTGAGTTTATTACCTGTATGCGTTTTCCTACGACTTTGTAAACCGAGGCCGTTTTTTTCATGTTTAGCTTATGAATTGAAATGCGAAATAAAGCATTTTTTGTTGCAGACAGAATCCTTCTCAATTTCTTTCTTTTAAAATAATTGATATTTTTAATAATTCGACTTTTTTTATATACAGTGTGTTTCTTAATGAAGTGGTATAACGAAAATACATTTAGCACCAAAATCTGTCGTTGTAATCTGGCGACAAAAGGGGAAGTAATTCAAATTATCCCGCTTCAGACAAATTTGTCTATTACTGATTGGATAAAAGCTAATCACATGACGCCCTGAAATTTTCCGTATTACGTCTCCATTTTCCATATTACGTCTCCGTCGAGGCGTAATATCAAAATCGGGCACGGGATTCCGTTCGAAGCGTTGTTATTGTAAACTAGAGGTACTGTGAGCGATGAGCTCACTAAATGATACCCCCCGCCTCCCATATGGTTATAACTGGTGAAAAAGTCCATATTTTCTTGTGGCCGGGAAACTCAAAAAATGTGTCAGATCAAAAAATAAAATAGGAGGTGCACAATGGCAATATGTAATAAAGATTCTGTGAAAGTTTCATCAAATTTCATTCAGTGGTATGAGAGGAGTTGCGGATAAGAGATGGGTACCCCAAAGCGTAACAGACGGACGGACGGACAGACGGACGGACAGACGGACGGACGGACGGACAGACGTACAGACGGACGGAATTAACGATTACTATATACCCTCCCGCTTTTCAAGCGGGGGGTATAATAAAAATGGCGGCTAAGAAACGGTTTACGTAGGTAGTTTAGTTAAATTTCTTGTTACCGTAACGATATTTTATGTTGATTGTTATTAGATTAAAACTGAATATTTTCATAATATGCACAAATTTTCTTTTAATATTGAGAAAGGTCTTCAGCGGGATAAATTCGTAACACAGTCAGTTAGTGACCTAATACGGATTCATACAGGGTGTGAAATGGAAATCCGTATTGGGACTCGGCTTCGCCTCGCCCAATACGGATCTCCATTTCACACCCTGTATGAATCCGTATTAGGTCACTAACTGACTGTGTAACTAATATTAAGCGTCGTCTACGCAAAACGAAAGAAGAAAGTGATTCATAAAACAGTCTCTCGTAAAATAACAATGAAACTTAGAAACGATGTTTTGAGAATAAAATGTTGAAGTAGAAATATTATTGCCTAAATAAATATCTTTTTAAGATAAACCCTACTTGATTTTTCCACAACGCATGGTCTGTAAAAATAGCCAGGGCTTCGGACCGGGGTTGATTCCCCGACAGCTATGAAACGGGAATGGAACCATCTGCATCATTTTTTTTTTCGGGATTCATTATTAATTTCAAACATTAAATTCAAAGCAAGATGTTATATTCAGAGTAATTTCTCTTCTAAAACTTATTATTATACCGTAACTTCGTCACCATGTCTCGAAGAAAAGCGACACGTACAGGTTTGTCTTATAAATATAAATTCGTTTGAACAATGTTACAATGTTGTCATATTTGTTTTAAAAAATAATTTTATTTAATTCTATGTCAGATACTAGCTTCAAACACAGGTCGGTTTATTTTGTTAATTAATGGAGGAATAAATGTACGTTAACTCATGTTGTAACACGGAAATTAAAATTATCGATTGTAATCGTGATATAAAATCCTCCCTTTTAAAATTAAATTCATAATATATATTATATAGCCATGATTTTTCTTGTCATTTATTTAATTATTTGATAGATAGATTATATTTATGGCAAATTTTTATGAATTAAAAAGGAAAAGAACGATTTGATTGTTTCTTTATCACGTGCGGTAGGCATCAAAAGCCTGAAAGTTAATTCGATGGTCGGTACGATCTCCAGACAAGGTACACAAGATATACACAACAGCAGCAAACTAAATGTCAATCAAATCAAAGTATCCAATCCCAGGCTTAATTTCAGATGATTGACATGAGTTCTAAGACCAGGTAAATTTGAAGGAGGTGCTTATTTCCTCCCCCTTTAACGTTTTTTTTTTTGTTATATCCCTCG